AGAGAGCTCAGAAGACCAGGAAATGCAGAAACCCGCGGCGACTCTCGCCCTGAGCCTGTCTTTATTAGAGGAAGGGACGCAAAGGCGATGCCATTTAACTACCGGTCACCGGGCTTTTCCCAGCCCTGACCCGGTTTCCACCATGGGTTGTCGTTCCAGTTACTGATACACCAACCCCTCCATATTGAATAAAATTTACTAGGCAAACTTTCAGGGATCAGAACTTCCAACGAGCATTATCGAAAGCTGGATGGCGTTTTGATGGCAGTACTGGTGAATCAGCAAGACCTTTATGTTTCATGCCAAGATCTGGTGAGTTTTATGAGTTTACTCGTCTGCTAATAAATTTGGTACCGAAATGAATAATGAAGCACTACTGTAGCGGGGGTGGGGGGGGGCACTGCCTGTTTCCTAATCAAAGCTCAGGTATAGGCTTCGCAGGGCCTAATCTCTCGACTTCGGTCGCCTACGCTCTGAACCCAAGCCCTCTTGACGGAGCCCTCTTGGGGAACGAATACAGACTTACGACATTTATGAGAATTACATGTGAAATAAGTCCTATTTCAAGGAACAGAAGAAAAGCGGATATGTGGTGTTTGTGGTGTGACTACAGACTCGTTCGACAGAAATTACCGTACGATTTTTGAGCTTCCTCGCAACGCGACGTTTGCCGTGGGTGAAGTGAGGAAGGTGAGCGCTAGCAGGTACAGTATCGATTGGGCATGATAGAAAAGTTTTTGGAATTTCGCGTCTTTCAAAAAAATCGAGACGGGATGACACAAAATTCCTTATTATTTGAGAATCTGGAAGACTTGACGCCAAAGCGGTTGGGAGGGGTGGGGGTGGGAGTGAATTGACAACTAAGTCCGACCATGCTCGCTATCTGCTCGTCCTTTCGATGAGACAAAGCCGGGCACAGCAATCTTGGGAGAATGCGCGGTAGTGGCTTGGAATTGGGTTAAGGGGGAGGATCGTAAATTTGGTCGCTGGGGTTGTCTCTGACTTTGAGAGATTGTTTTGAAAAACCGCGAGAAAATTTTATGTTCCAGTGTGAATTTCTTAAGATTTTCCCTGCCTTACGTGGCGCTCTATATTCCTCCCTTTCCCTCCTGAAGTTGTGTCCCTTATAAATTACCAGTCGCCTCGCCGGCTGACGCCGGCGTGGCTCCTTCTGATACGGCCCGGCTGCGCCGGGCGGGCGCGGCTTCGCCGCGCGTGCTTTCTTTCACATATTTCTAGACTCAACTGATATCCGCCTTTTGTTCTGTACTCCATTTTTTCCGGTGTCTGAAGTACTCTTGAGCTATTTTACAGATTCTTCGTCTGACTCCGCCCACCTCGGAGCAGGCCCCGCCCACAATGTTTGTCCCCCCTCACCGGCGACCCTCTGCTGACCTTAATCCACGTTTTCTTCCGGTCTTTGAAGTGCTCTGGGACAGTTTTAGAGAATTTTCGTCTGGCTCCGCCCACCTCGGGCTGGCCCCGCCCACATATGTACACCCCACATTTCTCAATCGGCGACCCCATGCTGACCTTCACTTTATTCCGGTCTTCGGAGTGCTCTGGAACCGTTTCACAGTTTTTCGTCTGACTCCGCCCACCTCGGGCTGGCTCCGCCCCCAATTTTTGTGCCCACAATCTTCACCGACGACCCTCTGCTGACCTTAATCCACTTTTTTCCGGTCTTCGGAGTGCTCTGGGACCGTTTTGCCGATCTTTTGTCTGACTCCGCCCACCTCGGGCTGGCTCCGCCCCCCATTTTGTGCCCCACATTCCTCACCGGCGACCCTCTGCTTGAATTCCGGTCTTCGGAGTGCTCTGGGACCGTTTTGCCGATCTTTTGTCTGACTCCGCCCACCTCGGGCTGGCTCCGCCCCCCATTTTGTGCCCCACAATCCTCACCGACGACCCTCTGCTGACCTTAATCCACTTTTTCCGGTCTTCGGAGTGCTCTGGGACCGTTTTACAGACCTTTTGTCTGGCTCCGCCCACCTCGGAGCAGGCTCCGCCCACAATGTTTTTGCCCCACAATCCTCACCCGGCGACCCCTCTGCTGACCTTAGACCACTTTTTCCAGTGTCTGGAGTGTTCTGGAACCGAGCTACAAAATTTTGAAATGATTACCCTGCGATTAAGGGCAAGCCCCGCCCACTGTGGGCGGGTCTCAACACACTTTGAGCGTGCCCTATATTCGCCAGATATTTACATTCTACACTGAGTTTTTTGCGACTTCCAAACACTCTCGCGAACCGGGTACTGAATTTTGCGAGAAGCACCGCCACATGAGTAACGCCCCGCCCGCATTTGGACGTGTGCTTCCACAGTAGTCCTGGCGACCCTTGCCTTACTAACCTTCAATACGCCTTTTTCCCAGCCTTAAACCTGCGCTTCCGAAGCGAATTATGACACTTTTCTGCGGAACCCCAAACTTTCGGCGAGTGCCCCGCCCACTGTGGGCGGGGCTTCCCATAGGTCAAGTGTGCTTTTTATTTCTTGTCCCATGCCCTACCCATCCCCACCTTGACCCGACCTCTCCAAGTCGTTCTTCAGTCGAAGCCGAATTCCGGACAGACAAAACTTACCAAAACAAACAAAGCAAACAGACGAATGCAAATTAGTATAATAACTGGGGTGTAATTCGCGCAAGTTGGTAAGAGCGCAATAGAAGAGTTTGTGAAGAGGGAAGTTGTTGCGGAAGAAAAATTTGCAGTGATTTCTTGTGTGTGTGTGTGTGTGTGTGTGTGTGTGTGTGTGTGTGTGTGTGTGTGTGTGTGTGTGTGTGTGTGTGTGTGTGTGTGTGTGTGTGTGTGTGTGTGTGTGTGTGTGTGTGTGTGTGTGTGTGTGTGTGTGTGTGTTGTGTGTGGGGGGATGTAGCGCTGGAACAAACGAAATTCTGGAGGAGGAAGGTCGCACTGATACCTGCCATTCCGATGCTCTACTCCTGGAAAAGTTCTCACGGAGAATTCGAGGGCGCGTACCGACGAAAAACCTTGGATCAATGAGTAGTCCACCATTTGCTTCCCCCTTCCCTCGCCCCTCCCCCCGCCCTCTTATTGTGGCATTAAAAAGCTTCAGCCTAGAAATCCGAGGGAACCTTTTATATCCGGGCCGTGTATACGGTAGATGATGCGACTTTGTTTAAAGGAGTTCACGGTGTTCAATGCCAGTAAATCAATAGCGATCTTACAGTCGCGTGAATCAATAAAATCAATAAATGTGAGAACAGTTCAGGTATATGGAGATAGCTGTTGTGTGGATGTGACATTTGCGATGTTCAACTATCTCTACCATATCCCAGCAAAGATGTTACAACTTGTTGGAAATTCCTATACATCTGTTGAGGATAGAGAGTGTGTAGACGAGAGAAATGGGGGGAGGGGGAGGGGTGTGCAATTTGAGGCGTGAAAACTACAAACATGCTGCGCTCGGTCTTAAGCGCTCTTTGGAAGAATGCGTTTTTTCTCTGCGTCCTTGACCACCACTCTGGTTTCTTTGCACTTCGATTAGTCCGAGTTTACTTAGAATTGCATATAGCAGAGGGATTCTGTTACAGTAGCCGTGTTCGTGCACTTTAATCTGAGACCATGTGGTGCTCAGGTAGTTTAGGAACAACAGCATCGAGACCAGGGCGCACCCACTTCCTGTTTGTACGCGCCCTCTCAACAAGATAGCTTTCGACAGGTTTGGCCGATTGCGGAGCGCGTGGGCGAACAGAAAATCATTGATATCTGACAAAAATGAAATTACCCCAAGAGCCTCCTATACCATGTTCTCCTATATAGCTCCCTACCTTGGGGTGCGCCGCCACGCCCTATCTATTTCCGGGTTGTGGAAAATACCCATTTTTCTATTGATATTGACTGAAAAAACTACTCTCTTTTCTCGGAATAAGTTCATTTTTCTTGCTGTATATACTTGTTAGAGAACTAGGTGTATCTCTCGAATGATTTCTGATTACTCCTATTATGTTGTTTATAAAGAAGGTTGTTGTGCGATTTCGTCAAAAAGTGCAGGTTCAAAGCGTGAATCCGTTGGGTCTACAACCGCATGCTTTATTAGGCAGCGTTCAGACTTCGCGATGACGCGCGTCGACGCGCTGTGACGCGCTACCATTGGAACGATGTTCCATGGCATTGGCGAGAACGCAGCCATAGACCGGTATCGACCCGGCCGCTACTGTTTTGAGATAGTGCGGAAGGGTATGAGGGTGTCAGACTGTGTTGTTGGGCGACGTGTCCCCTCCTATTCTCCCATACTATCTCACAACAGTAGTGGGTGGCGCCGATCGGTGCTCTTATGTGGCTTCCTTCCAGTCCAGCGCCGGAGCGCTGTAGCATGGTAGCGCGTCGACGCGCCTTATTTCGAAGTCGGAACGCTGCTTGATTGGCCTGAAATGGTACAAAAACTCGCTTAATGTGAGTTTACTTTTCGTCTTCATCGACATTGAAAAGCTGGAGGGCTAGATCGGCATGAAGGGCTAGAGGAGCGGAAGGAGCACCAATAAAAGGCTAACACTGGTTCTCTGTCTCCGCCTCCACGATCAGCTTAGACTCTGCCTTCACGGCAGAGTGGTCTTCAAAGTTTATTCTGCAGGGCGTATCCCAGAGCGTACCTGCTATATGCACAGCTATTATTGCTGCGTTCTCATGCCCGCTAGATATTCAGGGGTTAAAATAACGCAACATAGCCGTCATTCTTCCGTGAGTTCTTGTCGTTGTTGCACCTTTCGCATGACATGTGACGTGGTCATTCGCTTGGAGAATCAGCTGACTGTCTGAGGTTATTTTCGTTTACGAGAGATCTCATGAGATCTCAAAGTACGGGAATTTTCCCAGAGCAATCACATTTCTTCGTTCT